CAAATGGATGGAGTCCTTCCCCCCCCCCTCCCCGACTCCCTTCCCTCTCCCCCGCCCCGCCATGCCACGGGGGTTTCTCGTCCATCGTGGCCACGCTGGCCAGTGATGGTTGACGATGAGGGGTGGGTGGGTGGGTGGGATGGCGCAGGGAACTGGTTCAGACAGCGCTGCGCTGCTGCGTGCGCAAATACGGCTCGGCTTAAACGACAACGATAGGGGGTAATGGCTCTTATTGAAGCCTTAATTGATTTTCAAACAAAACCCCGTCGTAGCCCGGGAGATCAGGACGCGTGCGCGCGATGCGACATCACAGCGCGACCCTCGCCGCGCCCTTATTCGCCGTCTCACAAACTCCGTGGCTCTCGCGTTTCGGTGGCTTTGGTGGTTTTCCCGCCGCGTTGTTCGGGCACGATGTCTTGACGTTTCCCTCCGCGTGGTGCTGGGAGCTTTTTCTAATTTATTTCTTTTTTTATATAAGTGTAATCGTTTTTGTTTGTCAAACAAGAGCCCGGCGCAAAGCGCGAGCGACGGGGGGAGGGTGGTACAGGCATTCCGCGGACTCCCAATTTTTACTTTTAAATAATCGGAAAAATTAAGTGTGTCTTATAATCTAGAGGGTGCGGTATTAATCGAATCGGCCAACTGTCCCAATGTAGCAGGAGCCTCTTGAAAAAGACCCTTGAGACTTTTCTGAAAAAACAAAGCGGTATAATAACAACAGTTGTAAATAATAAAATGTATATAATGAGATTCCGTAATAATTTTCACAATTGACAGCCGTTTGTCAATCCACTGCTGGATGAACGAAGACCTCCTCCACGCCACGTCGGCCGTGGGGATTTGTTTGTCCATACTTCGCCACGCCGGTCAGCGTGCGTCGGTGAGAGGGGACCGGCTCGCACGTGGCACCCCGCTGCCGCCGCTGACAGTTACCACATGTGCGCCGGGCACCGCCGAGCAACAAAATGCCGAGCCGTCGTTCCGGAACGGCGTCGTGGCACGGCAGAGGTCGCAAACGGGTTTTGATTCCTTACCCGTACCCGGCGCACCAGGGTCGCAAATGGGTACCCGTACCCGGCCGGGTACGGGTACCCGTTCCCTACCCGTACCCGTACCCTACCCGAAATGCATGACAAACGGTTACTCACCAGTGACTCACGGCCTACCCGTACCCGGCCGCACCAGGGTTGCAAACGGGTACCCGTACCCGTACCCAGCCGGGTACGGGTAGCCGGGTATCGGGTAGGGTACGGGTAGCCGGGTACCCGATTGCGACCTCTGTGGCACGGCCGTGGGAGAAGCCATACGGCACCACCGCAGAATCCGGCGCAGTAACTCACAACCGCGAAAACCTACGCAGTTTGGTGTTTTTGGAAACCGCTTTGTAAACGCTGTTTTTTTTTACTTTACGTGGAAGATAGGGTCGTTCAGCCCTGGAGTCGGTCAGAAGCGCGCTGTACACTGCCAAAGAGTAACGGCCGTGTACTTTTTTGCAGTATCAGCTTATCGCTTATCTCGCTCACGACAAATGTAATTTCTACCAGGAAATGGAACGTTTTTTTATTGGTGGAGGAGAAGAAATTTTTTTTCCCGTTTTGAAATAACGTCTTTTTTTTTCCCAGTCGGCGGGCAATCTGGATGAGGGCACGTGTGCACGCTTCGAGAAATTGGGTTTCCACCCGGGATCGCCCGCTCGTAAACTCCCCTCTGTGAAAAAGAGCTTTGTTATTTTGTGGTCTACGGGAAAGCGTGGACACTCGTTCAGTTACTTTGAGATGGTGGTTTGGACAAGGCTGGGAGCTTTTGTTCCCGCAAAGCCCCGACAGGCACCGTCCCCTCCGTTCGCCGTACCGTCACATGCTCCTCATTGTGCCGCCCGGCAGTTAGGGGCTTGTCGAGTTGGGGGATGGGGGGGGGCACAAGGGGACATCTGTGCCTCTTAAACATTCGCACCGATTCATAAAGGGAAGAAGAATACGCACTCTTATGCCCCCGTACAAACGGGCCCCTTATAAAGGCATCACATGCTCGTGGGTTTTCCAGGGATAGTTTCAACTCGACTCGTCATCGACCAGTGTAAAGAGCCGATTGTTTTGCCCCGCCGCTGTTGCATGCAAACATGTAAACAAAAACAACAGTGCTGGGTTTTGAGCACAAACGCGACTCTGCCTTCGTCGGTCGATCGCGGGTCACAAGGGGGCACGATTGTTTTGCACCGTGAGGCAGCGGCGCACGGCTCATGTGACCGGAGGGGGGGAGATCTTATTTTAGGAGCCGTTGAACGCTCCGGCGAGTGCCGAGAGTTGGAGGCAGAGGTCGCAAACGGGTTTTGATTCCTTACCCGTACCCGTACCCGGCCGCACCAGGGTCGCAAACAGGTACCCATACCCTACCCGATACCCGGCTACCCGTACCCGGCCGGGTATCGGGTAGGGTACGGGTACGGGTACCCGATTGCGACCTCTGGGATGAAGCCATGTTGCAGGCGCGGGTGGGTTGATTCTAGGAACTTGAATTTGAAAAGAGTCAAGACGTTGGGAAATGAGTGACAAACGGTTACTCACCAGTGACTCACGGCCTACCCGTACCCGGCCGCACCAGGGTCACAAACGGGTACCCTACCCAATACCCGGGCCCTTTATGGCACTGTCAAAAAAAGGGTCCCATAGATATAACTGTAAGCACTGCTGGACTACGAACCCGGCGACCCGAGTTCGATTTCCGCTCACGGCCAACACCGGTGACTATGATCTGACTAGCTCCTGAGTCAACTGGGCCTCAAGTGAATACCTGCTGCTGCTTTGTGTCAACATCGCCACTCAGGAGACAAAGGCGGCAGGGCGTGGTGCTGGCCACCCACCCCAACCGTTTGCAGTGCTACTCGCTAACAGCACTCGCCCCAACATTCCGTGAAGGCTATTCAGGGGTGCCACGGTGACGAGATGTTAACTACCTCGTTGGGTATACAGGAGGTCGTGGATTGGATCTCGAACCTGGCACCTCTATATTTGTAGTTCGCATGTCTCTATCCCCGTGGTCGCGTGGGTTTTTCTCCGGGTCCTCCGGTTTTTCCCTCCACATTTATAAACACGCATATAGAGTATTTGGCTGCTATGAATTTCCGCATGACAAGCTACTTTGTTGAACTGTCATTTGTGGCCAGGTTGCTTCCTGAAAAAGAGCTATGTAGCCCGGTGGGCCTTAACCTGGTAAAAAAAAAAATGTAAGTAAAAAAATGTTCTAGATTTGAAGCTTTCGTGACTGCAAGGATTCATACTCTTAGTTCTTTCGGTAAAGTCACGTAGGTAAAAAATTAAATTAAAATTATTAATAAAAAATAAAATAATAAAATCACGACGTTTCGGAGGCAACACAAGTCTCCGTCATCAGGTGGGACCGTCACAGCCAGATTTGCTGCATCACTTGATGCAGCAAATCTGGCTTTACCGAAAGAACTAAGAGTATATAAAAAATGTGTTTAAATAGTTTAGTTTAACTTTGTCTTTGGTGATGATTAAGGAGAGGGACCTCCCCGCGGGCCCCTGGGCAGTATTGGTGAGGTGCCAACCTCGCACCCGAGGCTTGGGGCAATGGCCACGGCTTGCGAGGATTTGAATCGGTGGCATCCGTCCGTCCGTACGTCGTTTAAAGTGCACGCGGCCGTACGTGGAAGCGTGACGCTGCCTCGGCGGGATTATTTCGAGGCAATATTTTAATCGTTGCATCTGCGATTTTGGCAAGTTAAGCGATACATGGACATTTGATAGCGTTGTTTTTTTTTTGAGAATCAAGTTTAATCACAATGTAGCCTCAACCTGGATTAGAACCCTGGATTGTGAACAGTGCCAGCTCCGACCTCCGAGCCACCCGGCCAGTTTTGAGTTGCGCTCTTCTTTTAAGCCGTAGCAAAAGGTGACCCCTCATTTGTTAGATATTCTGGACCGCTTTCCAACGCCACACTTTTTTCTCACCGAAGCAATAATATCCGGGCACACTTGTTCACCTGACCACTTCATGAATTGGGCGTGTCGGGTGGAGGAGGGTTTACGACACACATTTTACTCGCGCGCGATCCGACCCCAAATTCAACAAGGGGCTGTTGACTACCTCGCCCGGTACGCAGGAGGTCGTGGGTTCAATCCCATTCCTGACGCCTGTATATTTGGAGTTTGCATGTTCTTCCCGTGGTCGTGTGGTTTTTTTATCCGGGGCCTCCGGTTTTTCCCGCCACATTTAGAAATAAAGGTGCATTGAGATGATTTGCCTGCTATATATTTTCACGTAACAAGCCACTTCGTTAAGTTATCAATTATGATAGCCGAGTCCCTTCTGAAAAAGAGCTACACTTTAGCTCAGTGGGCCTTACCTGGTAAAATAAAAATAGTTTAATAAACCAAACGTGACCTAGATTTGAAGTTTTCGTGACTGCAAGGGTCCATACTCTTTGTTTTTTTCGGTAAAGTCACGTAGGTAAAAAATAAAATTAAAATAAATTAAATCACGACGTTTTGGAGGCAACACAAGTTTCCGTCTTCAGTAATTTTGCTGTAACGGTGCCACCTCGTGATTTAATTTATTTTAATTTTATTAAATCCTTTATATTAAGTTCGCTTGCTTGCTTGCTTACGACCGTGCAAATCTTTCGGTCGTTTTTTAACCCACTTCCCGTGATCCAATCGAGCTGACATTTTCCACACAGACTCGTTGTGCGTGACAATTAATTTCCGTGAAAATTTTTTTCCAAAATTTTACACTGTTTAGGGAAATTTTTTTTCTATTTAATTACCAATTGCTTAATGCTGGCAGACAATCATCTGACCCATAGGTGGCAGCCATCTCAAGCCAGAGGACGAGAGGACTCTAGCCGCCACGCATATCAAGGATTTAGAGTGAAAAACTTAGTTTTTACGGGTTAATTTTTGTTTTACCTACGTGACTTTACCGAAAAAACCAAAGAGTACAAACGTGACCTCTCGTTTTCTTTCTCTCGCCCTGCACAGAGACGAGGCGTCCGGGTTCTGCTACGTGAATGACATCGTCCTGGGCATTCTCAAGCTCAGGGAGAAGTTCGAGAGGGTGCTGTACATCGATCTGGATCTTCACCATGGAGACGGTACCTCATTATATTGATATTTTTGTTTCACGAGTGTACGTGTGGTGAACTTCTTTTGCGCCGTACGTAGCCAACCATGCTAATCGCAGATGCGGGGGAAGGACCGCAAACGAAATATAACGAAAAGCAGTTCTAAAGAAATTGGTTTTTAATCTAGATTTAAAAGTGCATAGCTCCGGTGCCTTCCTAATATCGGAAGGAAGAGCGTTCCAGACGGCCGCAGAAGCTCATCTAAAAGCGCGCGATCGTCTTTGTTCAATGGCTACTGCGAGGATGACCGTAGTTTGCGTGATGATGGTTTATGCTCCTTTGGTTCAGAGGTGAGTGTGCCAAGCCACCACCGCTGAGATCCTGCGTCTCAATCCCAAGTGTCAGCAGCCTGTGGTTAAACTGGGTTCTCAAGTGCAGTGAGTTGGTCTCAGCCTGGTCACCAATGACTGCACGAAAGCAATCAATCCACACTGAAATTGACTCTTTATTTTTACTGGATTACAACTCTGAGAATAAAACAAAACACATTGGTTTGATTGTCACGTGACAAACATTCCCCCCCCCCCCCCCCCCCCCCGTCTATGGTAGCGTGGGTAGGAAAATGCTGCCCTCGACTGTGTGGACCAGAGGGCACTTAATATGATCTCAGAAGTAGTTCTGTGATGTCCACTTCGGTGAAAAATAAGACAGCTCTGTTGATTCCCGGTGTTTGGAAATCACGTCCCTCTGCTCATTCGCATTGCTGGTTCTCCCTCCATCTGTTAAGCCGAGGCAGGAAGCTCAGCGAGGCACACGAGTTCTAATCCTGGCTGGGGATTGACCCATCATCAAGTCAAGAGTGGTTGTCCTATGGATATGCTCACACCCTCCCGTAAGGAATGTGGAATTTCCAACACCGGTTCAGGGCCGTAAACGTCGGGTGAGCCACCCTCTCAGCGCTCGCTTAAGCCGAAATCACTCGACTCTCGCGGCTTTTAAAAGTCCACATTCGGCAAACATCCTCCGCTCAGCCGTTGACCGGTGACATCCTCATAACGACACTGCCTCGTATCCCCCCCCCCCACACATCCCTTTTCCTTCCTCCAATTAGCATCCAAATTGTCACCCTTGCCGCTCTCTTCCCCCCCCCTCTCCTGGCCGTGTAAACTGCGTCGTCGTCATCGTCATCATTGTGGTCATCATTGTCGTTGTCATCGTCATCATTGTGGTCATCATTGTCGTCGTCATCGTCATCATTGTGGTCATCATTGTCGTTGTCATCATTGTCGTCGTCATCGTCATCATTGTCGTCATCATTGTCGTTGTCATCGTCATCATTATCGTTGTCATCGTCATCATTGTCGTCGTCATCGTCATCATTGTCGTCATCATTGTCGTCGTCATCATTGTCGTCGTCATCGTCATCATTGTCGTCATCATTGTCGTCGTCATCGTCATCATTATCGTTGTCATCGTCATCATTGTCGTCATCATTGTCATCATTGTCGTCGTCATCATTCGTCGTCATCGTCATCATTGTCGTCGTCATCATTTTCGTCGTCATCATTGTCGTCGTCATCATTGTCATCATTGTCGTCATCATTGTCGTCGTCATCATTGTCGTCGTCATCATTGTCGTTGTCGTCGTCATCATTGTCGTCGTCATCATTGTCGTCGTCATCATTGTCATCATTGTCGTCGTCATCATCGTCGTCGTCATCATTGTCGTCGTCATCATTGTCATCATTGTCGTCATCATTGTCGTCGTCATCATTGTCGTCGTCATCATTGTCGTTGTCGTCGTCATCATTGTCGTCGTCATCATTGTCATTGTCGTCGTCATCATTGTCGTCGTCATCATTGTCGTCGTCATCATTGTCGTCGTCATCATTGTTGTCGTCATCATTGTCGTCGTCATCATTGTCGTCGTCATCATTGTCGTCGTCATCATTGTTGTCGTCATCATTGTCGTCGTCATCATTGTCGTCGTCATCATTGTCGTCGTCATTGTCGTCGTCATCATTGTCATCATTGTCGTCATCATTGTCGTCGTCATCATTGTCGTCGTGTCGTCATCATTGTCGTCGTCATCATTGTCGTCGTCATTTTCTCATTGTCGTCGTCATCATTGTCGTCATCATTGTCGTCATCATTGTTGTCGTCATCATTGTTGTCGTCATCATTGTCGTCATCGTCATCATTGTCGTCATCATTGTCGTCATCATTGTTGTCGTCATCATTGTCGTCGTCATCATTGTCGTCGTCATCATTGTCGTCGTCATCATTGTCGTCATCATTGTCGTCATCGTCATCATTGTCGTCATCGTCATCATTGTCGTCGTCATCATTGTCGTCGTCATCATTGTCGTCGTCATCATTGTCGTCGTCATCATTGTTGTCGTCATCATTGTCGTCGTCATCATTGTCGTCGTCATCATTGTCGTCGTCATCATTGTCGTCGTCATCATTGTCGTCGTCATCATTGTCGTCGTCATCATTGTCGTCGTCATCATTGTTGTCGTCATCATTGTCGTCGTCATCATTGTCGTCGTCATCATTGTCGTCGTCATTGTCGTCGTCATCATTGTCTCATGTCGTTCATCATTGTCGTCCATGTCGCTCATCATTGTCGTCGTCATCATTGTTGTCGTCATCATTGTCGTCGTCATCATTGTCGTCCATCATTGTCGTCATCATTGTTGTCGTCATCATTGTTCGTCGTCATCATTGTCGTCGTCATCATTGTCATCATTGTCGTCGTCATCATTGTCGTCGTCATCATTGTTGTCGTCATCATTGTCGTCGTCATCATTGTCATCATTGTCGTCGTCATCATTGTCGTCGTCATCATTGTCGTCGTCATCATTGTCGTCGTCATCATTGTTGTCGTCATCATTGTTGTCGTCATCATTGTTGTCGTCATCATTGTCGTCGTCATCATTGTCGTCGTCATCATTGTTGTCGTCATCATTGTCGTCGTCATCATTGTCGTCATCATTGTCGTCATCATTGTCGTCGTCATCATTGTTGTCGTCATCATTGTCGTCGTCATCATTGTCGTCATCATTGTCGTCATCATTGTTGTCGTCATCATTGTTGTCGTCATCATTGTCGTCGTCATCATTGTCGTCGTCATTGTCGTCGTCATCATTGTCATCATTGTCGTCATCATTGTCGTCGTCATCATTGTTGTCGTCATCATTGTTGTCGTCATCATTGTCGTCATCATTGTCGTCGTCATCATTGTCATCATTGTCGTCATCATTGTCGTCATCATTGTTGTCGTCATCATTGTCGTCGTCATCATTGTCGTCGTCATCATTGTCGTCATTATTGTCATCGTCATCATTGTCGTCGTCGTCGTTATCGTCGTTCAGTCCACCGTCTGCGTGCGTTGGCGATGGCTTGAGAACGGCTTACGTGCGGTGTGGCCCGTGCACCACTCGGTCGGCCCAGCTCTCTCGTGTGCTTTTGTTTTGATTTGTCTCCGATTGTTTATTTTATCTGAATGTTCCGTGGGTATTTATAAGCTTTGCAGCGTACAGTTGTATGAGATGCTTACCGGTATTTAGGCCCTGTGTAGATTTATACACACGACGACGTATAGCCTTCATTCTGCTCGTGCAGCTGTGATACTTGCGCCGTACAGCGACACACCAAAAAAGACACCTGGGTTCAATTCCCGACTCTGTGTGTTGTCTCCCCGTTCTTTAAGATGGGTTTTCTCCGGGTTCTCATATTTCCTCCAATAGCCTAAAAAAAACACATGACACTGTCACTGGACTTCCTAAACATCGCGGTTATTTTGTTGTTCCGCTCGTTTAATCCAGGAAGGCTTCGCCGAGGCTCAGGACTTCCGTTCAGGAGGGTCCTGCCAAGTTCTCTTAGTCGTCGGGGGCCGATGTTATTTCATCTTTTATCCCGAGTGAGTGATGTGCAGGTAAACATTTACAGCAGCGTAAATGAATGCTACTCACGGATAGATACTCACAATAACACTTGCTATCTTTCAAATGTGCCGTCGTGCGGCAAGACAAAGAGATAACTCCTTTGTCGCGATGGAACTCTTTTGCATGGCTCGGTTGATGCTGACTGGTCCCGGTTAACGCTAACCTACTGGAGAAACGCTGGCTGCAGCCGAACTTACCGGTTCACTTTTTAACGGATCATGGGAACAAAAGATTCGTCCCCAGAGGCCAGTTGCATAAATAACATTAAGTGACAATTTCCCGAATGGCGTTGTTTGAAAGCAGGATAAATTATGGTTGGGGCGTGAGTGGTGGGAAGCTATTCAATATTTATTATTAAAAAAAAAAAATCTGTAACCACAGAGCTTAAATGTGCCAAATTCATAATGACATAAAAAATAACTAGGCCGGCATTGTGTGTCTGTGGGTCGCTGGTGCCCAGGCTGAGGACCATCAGCTCCCCGCGACATTTGAGAACCCAGTATATATGTGTAACGAGTGCAGTTCGAACGTCAATGCTGTATCTCTATTTAATTCGCTATTGACGAGCTTGACCTGGACCTAACTAACTCCTGCGTCCTCACACCAATTGTTTTGATGGTGCAACCTGCTGACGTGGCAATCCCTGACTGGACGCTCGTGATGAAAAGCTTCTTAGCCCATCGGATTCCTCCTCCAGTACGAATACAGAGGATTCTGATTCGGATCATCGCAATGAGTCTGCAACAGTACGTGTGCGTTTACGTGCGTGTTTGCACGTGTGCATGCGTGCATGTATATGATGGGGAGCGGTAGTGTTAGTGCGCTGCGCTATGAACCCTGCGACACGAGTTCGATTCTTGCTCATGGCCAACACCAGTGACGATTATCTGAACCGGTCCTGGGCCTCCCCTAGGTCGACTCAGCCTCAAATGAGTACATGGTGCGGTGTGTAAACATCGCCACTAGGGAGACAAAGGCGGTCGGGCGTGGTGCTGGCCACCCACCCCGTCGTGTGCCGTTCTGGCCTTCATAGGTGCTCGCTAACAGCACTTGCCCCTACAGTCTGTTAAGGCTATATAG